GCATAAAATGTTTGTAAGTGACGTTGAAATTGAGACACTTGTCGCTTAATTGTTTTTCGAGTTTCCACACATAAAAAAGGGGATGGCGAACATGGCAGCCTCCCTTTCTTTCGTCCTTTTTGTGGGCTGCTGAGACGTGCCAGGGAAATTGAAAAGGGATTTGCCTTTTGCCTTTTTTTAGGGGAATCATTTACACTCCTCATTTCTAGGGGATCCCCCATTTGGGGGTACACACATTTTGTACTTGCCAGGATCTGTTCTGTTTGCACGACTTCTTAGACCATCGTTTCTGTGTGGGCGTGGCCCCGGGCCGGATTGCATTCGCCTGTGGTTACTTGTCTGCAGATTATTTTAAGTAATTATCAAGCGATTTGCGTAAAGGTCTTTAGTGTTCTCAACTTCTGAAGAGGTCTCTGATGACGATGCCGATGCCGATGACGATGGCGATGGGAGGAGCTGGGCGTGAATTAAACATGTAAATTTAAACAGCTAAGTGGAAGACAGTTGCATGTAATTGCGGTGGCACAGTGCCAGGGCAAAAGAGGAACAACTTTTATATTCTGCAGCCATGAAAGACGCAATTAAATTGCAGTTAGAAAATGTTGTTCTACCCATCTTAAGTGTCTAGAGAGTCAAGGTTCCTTGTGACCATTATCCTTTGTTAAATCCCTATTAGATCTTTGTGGCTCTTTTGTTAAACGGGTCTTTATAAATGAAAAAGGTGAGCTCACGTTGAATATTTGAGCATTGGTATATCGAGTCACCAGGGCGTAAGTAAATGACCTTGCCCACGGGACCGCTTAGGACATAAGGGACTCAAGAAAGACGCCGGGATAAGCTCATAAGTGAGGACATTTCACAGTCATGAGTGCTGATGGATAAACCATCTACGGTCGGTTAATTTACCTAAACACAGAACATTTAATACAATTTATTGTGGCGTGCTGGATCTATTTCATTTTGGGAAGGGCGGACTGACTGACTGACTGTCGAGTTGTGGCATCTACTGGATGAGTGTCTGCCTACTGCCTGATGTTATATAACTTATTACGACCATAATTAACACTAAATTCCCAAAATGGCATCGGACAACTGTCAGCTGCAGAATCATTTGCGGTAAGGAGCCGGAGCAAAGTTCGCATGCAGACTGGCTGTGATGCGGCTGTCCCTGTTTTTGCTCCCTGTCATGTGGCTGGATTCGGCTAGTAAAGGTCCTCATACCATTCCACTGACAATTCATGTCCTCCTCGTCCCAGGACTTCTGCTGACTTATGCGATGCGTCGTGCTGCAGCAAATTATAAAATGTTTGCCCTGCCACACATTTTCCGCACATCACACAAGTCATGTCCTGCAGGCCTCTCGGTTCGCCATAAGACGACGGGTCCTGCCGCATTAATTTTCTGTTTCCTAGTCGTAATCAAATTAGCAAAACCAAGTCGAATTGAGGTCACATCTTGCAGATGCAATTGGCAGTGCACTCACCCAAGGTATCTTTTATGTGGAGTATCAAAATAATTACTTAAAGTGTTCAGAAGTTTATATTTGAATTGATTTCAAAATCTTTTTTTAATGGCAGAATATAAAAACAATGTTTCGGTCTTAATTATCATTTTACTTTCACCTTGGAAGTCAATTTTAGTAACCACCAAAACAACATTCAACATCCTTTAAGTTAAGACATAAATTATGTACCAGGACCAACTAATTTGCAAAGCCCCAGCAGATAATATTCAATTTTACATTGCAACCATATTGATTATGAACATTAATCTAGATTACAACAAACGATTGCCCTGGTCTCCGCTCAACCCTAATATTGTTCGGAGTACCAAGATAACCCGGCTTTGATGGAGCATTTGGTACCGCAACAGCAAACAAGCACACTAATTGAAGGGAGAAATCTGCAGGACTCGGCTCTTTCTTCAGAGGAATCGCTGCAGAGCTCCACAAATTCCCCAATCAATACTACATTGCTTGAGGGGGGATGTAGAATCCGAAATTTCATATATCACCCAACGTGAAATAGCGCCACCCACTGCCGCACACATGCAATCGAGTTTTGAGTTACACAACCGCAAATAGACAAGCAGTCCTTCCAGTCGAGTCATCAGGATTCCAGGGACGTGGGACCACCAGGCACTACCGTTTTGACCAAGACACTTGAGTATAGAGTCTGTGGGTGAGTTGTCTGACGTTTATGATTGCAGCAAACAAAGGCTTCGATGACTGCACTTGAAATTGATAATTACGTTTGGCAATATTTGTCTATTGTCGGTGCAGAGGCCTTTGAATGCGAATAACACTAGCTTATTGATTAGTCATTAAACTCTCGCCTGAAATTAGAAAATTGCCACCGTAACATGGTAATAATAACTCTTCGTTCTTCAAAGGGTGTTAGTTTTCAATTTAAAATAGTCCTAAATATAACTTAAATGTGACACACTATGAGTGTTGTATAATTAAGGTGAAAACTTAACCTATGCCAAATAGCATTCATTTTCAGCAATAATTTATTAAAGTCCTGCAGAATATGCTCACCTATTTGAAAAACTTTACCAGACTGCCTTGAAAAACCGCAACTAGCTAACAAAGAAAAACTACTACCTATCTCTGTTATCAGACGATACTCCATCGTGTTGTTTGTCCAATGAGAAAGTTTTCAATATGCAAAAGCTTCTGTAGCACTCTCTCCCCTTTTTCCTCCCGGTATCGGCCAGGTGTTTTATGCAGAAAAATATTTTCATACAGAAAAGTTTTATGGCAAGAACAACACAAACTCGAAGTACAACCTAAATCTAGGTGTCCTTGGCTGAGTTTTGTCACTTATGGCATAGTAACTTGGACAAAAACTTAGCGCAATGTTGGTGAGTTTATGCGAATTAAATGCGACAAGTCAGGGGAAACGAGAATTTCGGATAAATTTTCGCATTTGGCTAAACGAAAATATTCGCAACAAAGTTGTCACAAGAACTAAAAAATGGACAATTATGTTCAAGGATAACCGAATGAAAACTATTTAAGTACCGGTACCAAAGAGAGTTATCTTTAAAGCTGTTCTCATTAAATGATGGCCATATTTAAAGAAATTTATATACTTAGATACAAAAGCTTGTTGAAATGTGTAATTTTGTGGCACTCAAAGCTTCCAATTCTTTAATGTCTCAAAGACAATTTATTCCGCAAATGGCGGACTTTGGAAAAAAGTGGATAAATTGTATGACAGTTGGTTAGCCATTTGGCTAGTTCAACGCACGCACTACTTCCGACCTCTGCGACTGCAACCCGCCTTGTTAACTGAAACTAAACAGTACAAACACGACTGTCAACAACTGCAACATTTACCGCATGTCCACGTCCAGCTCGGCGCTGGGTGACAGGACATGTTGTGGCTGCTGGGGCTACCACACTGCCCCGATTCCGAGGCGGACTCCCATCCCCAATGGGCAATATGTGAGTGTCCATATGGTCATCGGGGTACACCCAACTACTGCCACTTTGTGCCCGGAAGGTGGACGTTGCTTAATTGGTCAAATGCAGTTCAGAAACGTTAGGTTTGGCTGCAGAGTGTTACTTAAACGACTGAAAAGTAAATAAAAGTTGGTTTTATGATAGTAGTCTTGTAAAGTCCTAACAATAATCGATTTTTTCTTATATATTAACAGTTCAATGAAAAACAGAAAATCAACTTTTTAGTAGATCCAAAAATATATAGCTTTTTTTATTTTGGCAAGATAAAAGCTTTTACAATTTTAAAAATCTTAAGATATGACAGGTTGGCACTTTTTTAAGGCACGTCATACTTGGTTCACGATTTTCGGTAACTTTATCGCAAATACTTTCATGAAAATAGCCGCCACGTTGGCCAACTTTTCTGGCCATTCTTTTGGCTTTTCTATGACAGCAGGCCACGCCCTCGCCACTGACATGTTCCACTTGCCAAATGTAGATATATACGAGTATTATATATATATTGCCTACTCATCCGAGCACCTCTCATAGCTACTACGCCTTGGGCCAATTCATAAATTAGACTTTGCATGCAATTTCGAGTGATTTTCCATCTGGCCCCAACCTCCTCCGGCTATCTATATGTTTTCGCTGGTGTCCGTTCTGCCGCATTGAACATGCAATTTATGAGAGCACAAATTTTATTTGAATTACAAAAAATAAAACCGAAAATGGCGGAAAGAAATCAAATATGTTTTTACCAATTTCTGGACGATTATCAAGAAAAATAGCACACAAAAAACAAAACGCTTGGCCCAATTTAAATATTTTCTCTTTGCCGCTATTCGGACAAATAAATTCAATAATTTATTGCCCAAAAATAGCTGGCTGTACTCGTGATAACAGCTGCGGCAAATATTTAATCAAAATGCTGTGTACAATTTAAAGTGAACCAAAAAATGGAAAAAGGTTCACAAAAAACCAAAAAAAAAAACAAAAAGTGAGCCCCTCGAGGCGAAATGTGAACTGTATTATCACCTCAAATGTGTGTAATAAAGTACCGACGAGGTCTCTGACACAAAGCAGCTCGTTTCCCCCCACATTGCCAACTCGACGCAAAAGGCAGCAGAATAAGCGAAGGGTAGCATATGACAATAGGAGGCTCCTCGAACCCGGAACCCAAGCCCAGTCTCCAATTCAGACCAGAACAAAGGGACGGGCCAATGAAGTTATCATTGTGCGCCAGACAAGCCGACAGACAGCGATTGGGGAGTGGCGGGCACATGCGCAAATAAATAAATTACCCCTGGGCTGAAAAGTCAGCTACTTAGTCCTCACAGGTGGATCAAGGTACTCAGCTATTGCAAAGAAATAAAAACGTAAAAAAATATAGAGGAGAAGCTTTAAGCCCACTTCATGTGCTGAATTTAAGGTTCAAGGATTAAGGTCTTAAGCTAAAGTCCCGTCTCAGTTTACATTTTCAAATTACTTTTAGCATTTAGGAAAAGATGGCTTTGAAAACCTATCATACCCTTTCTCAGTTACAATTTTACCTAAAATTGTACTTCAAAAAAAATAATTTAATATTTATCACTTAACGATACAAGAGAATAAATAAACAAGTTAAAATTAGTCATGGCCAAGCCAACAAACATAAAGGATGCCTTGGCCAAGTGGGAGGATCGCAACAAACAGCAGGCCACCACGGCCACAGAAATCGGACTGCAGTTCCAGTATCCACCGATCGAGAAAATGGATCCGATTCTCAACAGTCTAACCGAGTGCCAGAAGCTCAGTTTGTCCTCGAATATGATTGAGAAGATAAGCGGCATATCGGGAATGAAGAACTTGAAGATCTTAAGCTTGGCACGCAACAATCTGAAGACTCTTAATGGTATCGAACCTTTGGCTGATACTCTGGAGGAATTGTGGGTCAGCTACAACAACATTGAAAAGATCAAACCCCTTGAGGTAATGAAGGCCTTGCGCGTGTTTTATATATCCAATAACGTAATCAAGGACTGGGCTGAGTTTATGCGTATGGGCATTCCCCCAAACCTTTCTGACATAACATTCGGAGGCAATCCTTTGCACGAGAATATGGATCCGGCTGCCTTTACCGCCGAGGCAATTCGTCGTCTGCCGAATCTAAGGAAACTCGACGGAGAACCTGTCATTCGCTAGGTAAAAACCAATTCGGACAGTCTTGTTATATTCAAAATAAAGGGGAGTCACAAGTCGAGCAGTTCTTTTGACCTTTGTCTTCGGCTAAATCACTGCCAACAATACAAGGATTTCTCCGACAGCCATTCGTATGTGATAGGCATTTGAGCAGAAAACATTTTTCCATTGAATTTTCTTATTTTTCGCTTTGGCACAGCATTGAAAGGATTTTCCAATTTTCAGTGCGTTCCTATTGCTGCTGATGAGCTCTATTGTTTTGCCTGTCTCATGTTGCCCCCGACTCGTAACCTAACCCCATTGGGAAATTCTTTAAAGAACTCTAGATACTCTAAACTGAATGGAGAACAAGGTAATCTGCTTTTTGTTCTTTTTTATTGGGAAACATTCGATTTTTAATAAATAAGTTCATATCATTTTAAGCTTCGAATGCGTAATGAAGTCATACAAATATTTAAGGCTAACAGTTCATAATATTGTTGTTAGTAAATTTAGTAGAGCAATACAATATTGATACCTTTAATGTGTATTTTCTTTCTTGTTTTCTAAGATGAACAATTTCGAGCTCCTGTTTTCTGTGTTCTGCATTGTTTGCATAGTTTCGAACTGTAAAGTAATGAGCCCCACCTTTGCTCCACCCAATGAATGTTTTGAATTTTTAAATTAAAGTAAAAGATTAAAGGAGCTTGTCGAATATCGGGTAATAAATTCCATTGCAACCTGCTATCTAAATAAATAATTAAGGACATTGCATTCATTTCAATCAACAGCAAATAATCCATCAACAAACACCAATACATTTTTAATGTTGAAACATAAGCCGACAGAAAAAACAAGAAAAAGTGAAAACAATTGAGGTCTGAAGAGTCCCATAAGTTCGACCGTTTGTGCTTTCTGTCGGCACATGGTATTTGCTTTCTGTGCATAAATAATCAACAAAGTCAATGGTTGGGGATGGCGGACAGTCATAGATTTTTGGCAAACAGACAACTAAACAAAATATATGAGAATGTGAATTTTGTGTCTGCCAAGCCGAGAGACGGCAGATAAAAACGTTGAATAAAATCATAAAAACGGCAGCCAAATCCCAGCCAAACCCTAAGCAAACCAATGCAAACCAAACCAATTGCCAGACACGAAAGTTTAATGATACTTTTATGTCTTTTCGATTTAACAACTTCTCTATTATGGCTGTTCTTGCTGCTGCTGCTGCTGTTGTTATTTGATAAACAATAATATTAATGTAAACATGAAGGCCGACCATAGTTCGACATTTTGGCAGACAAACAGCAAACGAGACAATTGTACAATTGGTTGCACACAAAAATATTTTCTGGCAGCCAGACTTGTCGCTTGGCTGATTAGGCGAGCAAAATCGAAATATTTTTTAAATTGGTGATGGAAAACTCGATTTAATTTACAATTTAACAATTTTGTTTTTCAGTAAATTAGGTAACAACATTATTATGAACTGAAATAGTTCTTAAATTTTTGTTGTTTCTTGGCAATTAAGCAATGTCTATTTTAAAGCAAACTTACTCCCTTTTTTTTTTTAAATTGGCATATATTTCAGATGAAATATAAATCTTACTGACAGGGCGCAAAAAATGACAATAATTGGTATAATTATTTCATATCTTACACTTCATTTGCTGAATAAACTTTTAAATCAAATTTCCTCATTGAAATTATGATTATGGTACATTAAGAACCATTTAAAAATTTAAAAATCTTTACCCCCACTTCCGATTGAAAAATATTGCGGCTCCGATCTTAATGCCAAATGCCGGAACAGTTTGTGTGTGTGTTTGCAAGGGCTTATACAAAATTTACGTTACAAGTTTGTGTGGCCAGCTCTGGCCGTGTTGTTTTCTGGTCGTTGGCAACTCTGGCAATGACAACACCGAACCGAACTACAACACTCTCTTCCCAAAACAATTCCACCAGGATATGTATGCTAGTGTGGGCGGTTGTGAGAGTGTGGGTGTGCAAAACTTGGAGTGGTTTTTGCACTGTGGTTGCGCAATCGTCTGTGTTTGTGCTCGGGGCTTGGTTTTATTTTTCACATTTTGCACTTGCTGTGGTCAAGGGTTGTGTCGGTGTTGCCAAAGTGTTGCCATATATTCTAAATATGTTGGTTCGCCCTTGTTGGCCAGTTGCGGCGGCAAAACGTAAGAGTGGCCAAAACGACAGTTAAACGCCAAACGGTCGAAAAGGCCACTTGGCAAACTAAACGCGTGATTTATGCCCCAAAGATGATAAGAGACAGCAGGGAAGAGAGAGCGTCGAGAGTTAACAGACGGCCAAGCAGGTGGAAAAAATAAAATTAAAAGCTTTTTTTCGGTGAAAAACATGGGTTGAGGCGCCAGCAATGTGGCGTTGTAAATTTAATTTCTTTAAAGACATTAAACATTGAATTTATAGATATCTACTTAAATCGAACTTCACCAAAGTAGTGATGCACAAGTCTTTTATTAGAAGTTTGAGTATGTGAAATGTAGAAATTAGTTCAGCAGCTCTTGGAAAGATTCTTACTAGTTTTTACAAAGATCTTCATGTAAGACTATACATTTTCTTTGGGGGATTTTTTGGCCCGACAATGGCATATCTTTAAGTCACTTTAAGCTCGCCCACTCTCTCATGTGAGACGGTTGCTCTCCCAAAGATTCGCATTCACATCTTGTGCCTGTCAAAGGAGCATAAATCTATTCAAAGTCTTTACGAAAAATCCAGACAAATGCCAGAGATTACAAAAAGATTTCGGCCCACATGATGCATGGGGCCTCGAGCAATGAGTTGGTGGGGGTCCAGGAGGTCCTCGTGGCGAGGATCCATGTGTGTGTCGGTCTATCTGGCACCACAAATGTAACCGAGCGACGCACACAAAAACAATTAAAGCCTGATTAGTAGTTGCAGCCCACATCCGCCAGCCGTTCCACCTTTCGCCAAGTTCTCTTGGCCCGAAATCCCGTCCACATCCACATTCTACTTAGCCAGCCAGAGGCTGCTGAGGCTGAGTTATGACTTTTGCTGGCTGTTTAGCATACTTTTAGGCTTCAGACATTGTTTCCCAACGCACAGGACGGGTGAGAGAGCGAGTGTGAGCGGTCCTCGCTCGCGCATAAGTCAAATTGTTGTTAATTTCACAATGTTAACCCTTAAACCAAAATAGCAGCAGAGACATAACATAAATTCATTTGCATCCGCCCCAGGACACCACGCCCTTCCATTCCGTCCACCATCTCCCATCGCAACATTGTATAAATCATTAAATTTTAATGCTTCCCAGGAGATCAATGAACATGACCGCAAATTATACTGAAGCGTGCTTTCAGGCGCATAAAAAGATTTCCCTGCATAAAATGCATTTAATGCAAACAAAAAAAGCAATCATAAAAACTTTCTGGTTTGAAGTTGCAGTTTGTGAGGGTGTCTGCTTGTCTGTCTGTCTGTCTCTCTCTCTCTTTCTCTCTATTCTCTCTCTATCTGCAGCAGGCAAAAGGCAAACATGGTAATGATATTGCATTGGATGACTGACTGTCTAGACTTTAAATGTGTTGAGACAGGCAGCAATTTAAAGGAAAAAAAGCATAAATCGCCATTTGTGTTTCAGTTGATAAGTAATGAAAAATACAGCCTGTTTTTTAGATGCACTAAACTTCAGTTAAATCCTAACAAAAATAAAACTATAAGTGTGTGCGATTCAAATTAAACTCCATAGCAATTTAGTTGCTATGGCGACTTCCTCCGCCAAATGGCAGCGTAAACTGCACTTCCGGCGCCTTAAAGCATACAGTACAAGATGGAACATGGCATGAGCAAACCAAGAGCCTTGCATATGCAAACGAACACTCAGATAGTAAATCAAAAAGTTCTCTAGTGCGAAATAGAGGCGAGCAAACCCTCTTCCTCATCGTACACTTGTAGATACTCGTACTTATTTCAACGGCATCTGCAAACACGCCCTCTTCGGGGCACTTATACCAGCGTATTTGACATGAGAAATCATAAACAAGTTGTGCAAACTTCTGCTCGCATACACAAAACTCCATTTTGCAACAGGAAGTCGCACGCACACAGCCCTCTCACCCATACAGACCTAGCTGCAAATGTATAAATTAAAATTTTCGCATCGCGCAGTGGCCACCAAAAAGATGCCGCACTGGTAAAATGGATGGGGCATCCCAGCCTGGGGATGCCAAATTTTGCATAGGTCCAAAAAGAGGAGTGTACACTGAGGGAAGTCATAAATAGACAAAACGATAGTATAGTTTGTAATCACACAAGGCTCTTAATTATATTTTATTCATTATAATGTTATATATACTATATATTAATTAAGTTCCTCAAAATGTTTGATTATCCACCTTTTATAGAATGTTTGTACCTAGCATTGATCTCTGTGTAAAATGTGGTGTGCAAGGGAAGGAACCTTGCTTAAAGTGGCTGCATAAGAAGCATTTCAGTTTTCCGGCTTAAGAAGGATTTAAAAATATATATTTTTAAAGATATTTTTACGCATGGCTTGCTCATTTAAAGATGAAAAAACAGTTAAGGCAGTAATTTGTAGTCAATTTCTTTAAAAACCATCTTTTCGAGGGCATCAACTAGCCTTTAGAGTAATGTAGTTTCATTTCCAAATTTTCCATTTGTTTGTTTTCGCTTGCGTTGGGCCCGGTCCTTCGTGTGTCTGAGTATTTTGTTTATGCGTCTTACATAAATAGTTTTTCATATTTAAATATTAAAGTTTTTGTTATGCTGTGCATCATCTTGGGCAGGACTTTGCTGCCCCTTTGTTGACGGCCCAAGGTCCTTGCCCCACCGCCTCCGTTCGTATTATGTTTTCTGAATAACAATTAAGTTCCGCTTTAAGCCGGGGTTTCACAATCCTTCTGCTGCCGCATGGCGTATGTTTAATTTCCGGCATTGCGTATACGCCTAGTATTCATAAACGGCATTTAATTTCACACAATTCTGCATTAATTTCAAGAGATTTGGCGAGCTTTCTCAGTCAACTGTTATTTTCTTGATTTCTAACTGGAAACGTTATTAATGCTGTGA